AAGAGTCGACATTCCGTTACATGAACTAAATTAACACCCTCACGAATGTCTGAAAGTCTATTAAAAGTGTGTTGTTATTCGCCACTTGGACTTTTTTAAATTATATTCTTTTATTATCTATTATTTAGGTGCATGCAATGAGTACTGAGACATGTACAAATTAACTAATAATCCTTATTGAAACAATGAAAGTTTCTCATGCTATGTAGATTCCAGTGGCGGCGTGCGTATAGGCACTGTGGGACTGCAGCACCCCCAATTTCCACTTGATATTATCGATAACGTTTAACATAATGAATCCTTTTTTCTTCAAATCTTTCTTTATACTTGTACAATATAGAATCCTTAAGATTAATGTCAGTATCCATTACCCAGTTTATGAAAAAGATACAAACATTTTAAAACAAAGGCTAAATATTTTCTGAGGCAGCACCCCAACTAATTTTAGCTACGAGCCGCCACTGGTAGATTCAGTGTACAGTAGTTTTTAATCACTGATACAAGTGTAACTTCATTAAATGGCCGTATGATCTTTATTGCCAATACAAATTATCAGCAAAGAGATGACAAATAAATTTTAACTAACACTGATTTTACAATTGGAATGGGTGTTTAACGCTTCCATTGTATCATAAAGTGTACAAAATGTAACATAATAAATATTTTAATAGGTAAATATTTGATCAAGCTTTCTATCTTATTTGTATTTTACCAAAATTCTCAATAAGACAATGGAATTTTTGTTTTAATTGTTATATTTGTGAAACACAATTTATGAGTAGGTATGCATAGAAATTTGCACAACAATAGACGGTCAAATTATGATGTCTAATTAAACAGATAAACTGTTAGATAAGCGAATGAAAAAGAACCAAAAATTGTGAGGTGATCAGTAAACATAAATGATAAGTTAAATGGTCTTAACCGGTTAACAGGTGAAATAAGCAACAGGGTGCTTTCGTGTCGCGTGTACACACATAAAGCGATACCATTTACTTAATATGTATGTATGCATATTTTCAATTAAATTCATTAAATATTTTGTATCACACTGTGTCCGAGATAGCTCCCTTCACGTGTAATGAATCTCTAATAAATAATAACTAAACAATAGTAAGAGTAAACACTTCTAAATTGAATAAGTATTACTTTCCATAATATCGAAGAATATACCGTAGAGAATAATAAAAATAAAAACTATTTACAAAGAACCAAAGATTTCTTGCATTTATTATAAGATACAACACAGGAAAAAATATAATAAAATTTCATATTATAGATTTTTATATTTCCGAAATAGGTGATTCTATATAACATTAAATATGTATAGAAGTTGGAATAAGTGCAATAATTTTTTTATATGGAAATCGATAGAATATTTAATGAGGGTAACATGTTTTTATTTCATTTAAAAATGTATATTCTTAGTAATTATTCCGAACTCCACGCGATCGATCGTATTTATGAATTAAAATGAGGGAATGAATGATGAATGAATGAATGAATGAAAAAGGAGATTTAATTGTAAGGTATGTATATTTATCAGAAATGAAACTTTTATATACAGATATGAACAACAAACACATTTCGCATTAGTCTACATTACATGTATGTGTATCTATAATAATCTAAGTACTTGTGTTTTGGTAAATGTGCGCCGATTAGAAGCTCACGGGAAACGCAACGCTATTATACATATTTATAGAAACAGATGCATGTATAGCCGATAACATTATTACATAATTGCGGCTATACAAATACGTTTTCATAAATTATCCATTTACGAGCAAAAGCCACGTGAGCGCTCTTATTACTCATATTTAAATAATACTTCTTTCATACACTTGTATATCTCGTTTAAGACTAGCTATGACTAGAATGTGTTTAATTAACATTCACGTATGATATTTACCTACTTAAGTATATATAGTATATGTGTATCCGTATTTCACTTTTAACATTTGTCCGCTTATGGTTGACCTAATGTGCTATATTCGATTAGTCCAATTTCTCGTGACAAACTATACAATTATTCCGCAACCTCTTTTTATGATATTTTGATATTTTCAAGACTTATGACCTACAGCAAACTATATATATATACGCAATCTATAGGTACAGTTTACGATTGCTCTCGTTACTTCTCTATATACACTTATTTCGAGATGCTTACAGTTCTCCATACTTTTGGACTAGATGATACTCTGTTATTCTAATTAAATAGAATAATAAATAATGCGAAACTAAAATATAAAATTAAATAAAAAACAATTACGTTAGTTGCAACTAAAAATGATACCGATAGAATGAAAATTGCAATGAGCTGTTTCTTAAATTATCTTAAAATTATATTTTAATTATTTTCCACTAACGACGATAATCATTCGTGTATCATACTTTTAGAATGGTGACAGATTAGTTAAAAGTGTCTGTTAACTTGTTTTCGAAAAATTCGCCGGTACCATTTCAAATCGTTCCGTTATACAATATTATACCTACACTTAATATTAAAATCAGTAAAAAATAAATAACAATTAGAAATATTAATATTCAGTGTAATAACGTTATTCGCATATTCGTTGTTAAGTTGACGATCAAATTTCTTACGTGCTCCAAGAGAAGTTTCGAATTCAGCAAAATGCTACTGCGATAGCAAAATAAGAAATTTAATACGTAGGTATATTACGAAAATACCCGAATGACAACGAATATACCGTTGTATCTTGACTAGATTAATTTCTACATTTATACGGTTCCTCCAACATAATGTTCATGTTTTACAATGTAATGTCGTATGCTTTTCAAACAATTCTGTCGATGTTTCCCTAACATCCGAATACCTCCATCAGCGGATCTTAGAAGAGGTGACTTACTTTCACCCGAGAACATCAACTATATAGACTGTGAAAACCTCAAATCTCTGAATTTCTATACTTTCTACAAATTGACAATGAACATTAAACTATGCTTTTTGACTAGAAGCTAAAAGCTAAAAGCTAGAAGTTAATTTTACACTACGCGTATGCGTATACCTACGCACTACATTTAAATAGAGCACCAAAACGATACGAAGGTTGAACGATGTTCGATACTTTCATGTTTATGAAGTAAAATACAGTACATAGTATCTTGATTATCTAAAAGCTGTCTTGGACGCTTAAACAAATGAGATAAATAAAAACAATACGTTCTTCTACTAGGAATGTCGAGTAATTTTGGAACAAGGTAACCGATAACAGACTAAAATAATCATATGAAAACAAGACTATTGAAACAGCAGAATGTAAACCGCGTAAATAATTTTTCTTCGTACCGCATACACGCATAAATTCTAATGACCAATTCGTGTAATCGAAATTCCGCTGTAATAAATATCCATTTACCTGCGTTCTTTAGGCAGATCGACAATATAAAACTATCATTTTTAAAGGATTTATAGACCCAAATGGAAATACATACATCTCAACGAATTTGAAATAAGTCAGCGCTATTAAATATTAAACTTAATATACCAATGAGCTTCCACTGTTTAAAACTTTTCGCTCAATCTAAAAAAACTAAAAATAATGATCATTGTGTCGCGAACGTATGAAGAAAAGCGATAGGAAATTTCTCATTAGTATGCCTATAGTAACTAGAATAGAAATTAAAAGAAAATCACACTCTTAGATATATTCTCGAACGAAAAAGTTCTTTAAATAGTTACATCGCCTAATTCTTAATTGTGTATATACCAGAGAACTAAAGTTATCAAATTGATTCTTAGAAAGTTGACTTTGAATTCTTTGTGATAAATGAAACGTGTTCTTTCTGTGTACGCGCTATTTGTCACGATAAAATCTAAGCTAAGGTCAGTTTCGATAATTAAAAATTACGATTTACCATTAAGACTAACTACATGTACATAGATACGATGATTGGCATATTCCACTATATAAATACAGATACTTCGATCTCCTTAACTATCTTTGATATTTAGCTGTATGATAGATTGCGATCGTTTTGATCAATAAATTAAAACTACATCCTATAAAATACGTGTTCCTATGAGGGATGACAGATTGTCGTATCGGTTCGCATAAATGCATACGTATAACAACACGAATAAATACAGTTTGATATGTACACGCACAGTCATGTTTCCAGCCTACCTCTTCTCCACGCTATTTACATATTTATGTACATCGCACGCAACAGCGTGTTAACCTTGTTGCTCCAGCCCTTTCAATTTTACGGGATTACATAACCCAAGCTGGTCCTCTTACTCCGTTCTCCCGATATGTGTCATAATTTGATCACGAAGATGATTATTGTCTCAAATTCATAAAAATCAGACCGATCTTTCTAAATTCGATTTATTTCTGAGATAACCAATAAATCACCAAGCACGTACGATATGCACTTATTTGATTATTTTACGAATATTGCTCCAGCAATTGATCTGAAGTGATAAGTGATAAGTGGTAATAACAAAACATATGCGAATATTATATAATATAATGACAATTGTCGTAGTATTGTTTCAAACATAGGTAAATATTAACACTAGATTCACTGACATTTACTGTACAGTTTGTTCTATTGTTCTTAGAAAAATTGTTATCCGTTCATTTAGATCTTAGAAATTAGAGGTTTAAGAGTAGACAATTAGGATACATATTTGCATAACTGCGTTGATAAAAATCGACCCAAACATTTACCAAATAATGCTTATAAAATTCAATATGAGTGAAATTGACTCGTTCCGTAAATCTAGTGTTAACCGTCAGCTATTTTCTGAAACGTACGGGAGTTTTTCAACGGAAGAACGTTCGATCGTGTCGGTTTAAAATAGAAAAGTTAAAATAATAAGTGATTACCAGTATATCATTTTTCAAACAGAATCTAGTGCAAATATTTGAAGTAATACTAATTGAATAGACTCTCGATGTTTAGAGGTCAAGACCAAACCTCCAATAGATGCCTGGCCTTCGCGGTAAAGGTCGCGCAGGGAATTCGTGTCAGGGTATTTCAGCGTTCAAGGAGCTGTTGGAAACCATCTGAATGATGTCAATCTTACCCGTGGATCCTTGATTATCCAATGAAATGCTGTTGTTGTTGTTATTGCTGTTGCCGTTGTTATTGTTGTTGTTGTTGCTCTCCGGATGCTGAGTGGCCAAATGCTTCCTTAAAGCGGCTTGCCTGGTGAACTTGGCATCGCACCTGGTGCAAGGAATTTCGACGCCGGTCGCCGACGACGAATGCTCCCCGTTAGCTAGTCTCGGTTTGTGCCAACGTCGATGGGACGCCAGATTGGCCGGACACGAGAACCTCTTATCGCATTCCGGGCATCTGTACTCGACGTGGGCTATCCTCGAGCACCTGTGTTGGGCCAATTGGAAAGCGTCCTCGTGAAGTTGCCTGCAGAGTTTGCACTGATACGGACCCAAACGATTCTCGATTTTCGCCAGTTCCGCTCGCGCCTCTTCGGTGACTTCAACGATATTGAAGGCCGGATCGATGTCTCCGGTAACCACAGCTTCGTCGGGTCCCAGAATCACGGTACCAGACACTGGGCTGCTGGTGTCTTCGTCAAATTTCAATCTTCGAGCGTGTTTCTTCTTTGGTCTTTGCAAAAACTTGTCCACGGAACCGCTGGTCCTGGAACCGTTACTCACAGTAGAATTGCTTCCCACCGACGCTGGACTGCCATCCTCCTCCCTTATTTTTCTTCTAGGACATTGCGGTGGCGATGGTGTGCTCGGAGGTGTCATCGGTGCATGTTGCATGCCATGCAAGTGTTGCTGCGGCGTCAAAAGTTGCTGTTGATGATAATTCTGAACAGATTGCTGCAGATGATTAGGACTGGTGAGTACATTAAGCTTCTGACTGTGCGCATAATACGATTTCGAAACGACTTCGTTGATCGTGCTGAATGGTACCAGTCGCGCAGCTTCATCGAGGGTACAAAGCTTCTCTCCCGATTCCTGTAGTTGCACGGGTTCCTTCTTCGACATCAATTCGTAACTGGAATGACTGTTTACCGATGAACATCGGGGAATGGTGTCGAAATCATCGACTACCAATGAACCTGTTTCATCGTTACTCTCTTTATATCTAACGCCGTTCTCCGGTTCTCTCTGCAACTCGTCCGAAATCTCCTGATCCTTCTTAGACTCGGATTCAACCGAATCATCGATTTTCGGCGTGTTCGGTGTAGGTGGTGGCTTCAGCGACAGGTCCAGAGGACACGGAGTCGATGATCTAGACATGTCCCAAGATTGGAGACGGTGATGCTCAGAAACCCTCGAATACGTCGAAAAATTCTCCATGGGAATATGCCATGTAGGAGGTGTATTGTACGGATGCTGATGGATCTCATCGCCATAGTAACCCATGTAATTTAATCCTGGAGCCAAAAACGCTCGCGGTAAAGAACTGTGTAACATATTGACCAGCGCGTTTGGTAAATGCTGCTGTGTTCAAAATTCTTCTCGAACGGATCATACGTTCGAGGTATCAACGGTTCTCCATGTTTGAAACCCTTGCGACACTTGTCGCAAATCACAGGCCGCGTCGGAAATTTCTGCACAATCAAGGGTTCGCCTTTCGTTGAACGATGTTCCAAGTTTCCGTTCACTCACAGGATCTCGATATCGTTCGTGTATTCTTCGGGGAAACAGCCATGCACTACCTTCTCCCTCGACGGCCGAACGCCGTTTGACAGAAGGTCGCCAGCACCACGTCTGGTATATTTGAAAGCTCCACCCGGGAACGCGTTATTATCCTGACTCCTATTGGTCGGCCGACCTCCAGCCCCCATCTCCCACCACAAAATGTAGCTGCCACCACTACTCTCGAATTCTGGCGCGTGCTCGCATAAACGTTCACCGCCCCGTCGACCGCGTAACTGTAATGAGTGCGCTGTACCCACAGACGCTGCATCGCAGCTATACAATGAAGATTATTTAACACGTTCGCGGACAGTACAAATTTTAATGAGCCACAAAAATAGAAGAAATGCAAATGCCGTACTCCAAGGGTTAAAGAGTATAATAATTTGAAAAAATTAAGGCTATACCAGTGTTTCCCAACCTTTTCTGTGCCATGACACACCTAAGCCTTTCTAAAATTCGTATGCCCCCCTATATACCATATATATAAAATTTAATAGTACATTATAATATTTTTATAATATTTATTATAATATTTTTGTTATTTTGTTTACGTGCGTAAATATTGTGAAATTTGAAATATATGAAGCGATATTTCAAATTTCAAATTGCCCCCCTGTGGGGCGATGGCCCACGTTGGGAAACACTGGACTACATAGAATTAAATTCATGACAATATGGCTTATCAATTTCAAAGTTATAGCGTTCATGCTATTTTGCATCACAATGAAAATGAATGCTCACGTCCACGAACGTATTAACAATTATAATATATTCTCTAATCCAATAAATCTTCTAAATAAGATATTAGAAAAATGAAACTGAAATGAGGCATTGAGTTCCTAAATATAATGTCGTAGTTTATAATTTCTAATAACAATATTTATAGGATTAATTTCATTTTCATTACAATTGAAAAATATAGGGTTACGGTCGTCACAAATATGTGATGCCGCTAGCGAACGTGTTACCGTCCTTTTAAAATCCGCCTTATATAAAAATCTCTTTTAACCCTTTTAGTTCCGAACAACGATATATCGTTGCGTATGCGATAGCGCCTTACTATTCGCATCGTAAGAGAACTCTGTGGCAAAAGAAATTTATAAAACGTTATAAATAGTTGAATTCCACTTCAGGAGTTCTATGTGAGATGTTCCAGAAATTGAAAAAATCGTTTATGAGTTTAACTTTTCGTTATATCGCGATGATTGGTATCGGGACTGTGTATACGTTAGAGTGATAAGGTAGAAATTTAACTGAGATTTGCTACAAATAATTTTGTAGTTACTTTTATAAGTAATTTTGTAACGAATAATTGAAAAAAATATATATATATGTATATATATATATGCTTTATACTACGTGTCCTATCTTAAACTAAGACCAAACCAGGATTCTTCTTATATGCAAATACTGTTTATACAAGAAAGACTTTGAATAAATATCATTAGTATGATTTTCAACAAATATTGAAATGCACTTAACATTCATTCATTCTCCCTTTATTTCTTAACACTAGATCCAACAATGGTAATTCTCATATCAAAAATTTGTTGCTACTGCTCAACTAAAATGATGCTCCACTTTGTTGAAAGATAAAATTTAATCGTATCGCATAAGGAACATCGTGAAAATAATTCCGGAAATTCGTCACGCAACAAATGTAAATAAGGTCCTATAACTTGGTCTCCTATTATACCATCCCAAACTCCATCTCATTCGAACATTACTTTGCAAAATAGCATACAGGTTTCAGATGCCCATCGATGCAAGTTATTAATGAACATTCCGTCTCACGTGAATTTTGCTTCATCGATCATAAAATTCTTAACAAAAATTGTCCGTCGTTCAAAGTTTGTTCCAGCAATCAATGACAAAATACTATTTTTGGAACATAATTACCATTTATAAGTCCTTCTACTTTAAAAATCTGGTAAAGCTGCAATTTATTCTCATGTAGTATTCACAACTGTGTTGTGAAGAAAGATTTCTAATACTCGTGCTAGCTTTGCTCGTTATGTCATCCAGAATTCCTCCTTCGAAACTCGTATTAACCCTTTGCACTCGAGAGGTGACCCTCAGTTACCACGTTTCTCAATTTACTTGCGATTTCTTTTTGAGTTAATTTAACCGTTTGAGTCCCACCAGTTTTTGCAAAAACCCGGTCGAAATGCCAAGCAACGCGATCACGCTTCTTTCCTTTCAATTCAGAAATTGAATTATGCTTTTTTATTTTTACAAAAACAAATTTTAAGTAGTGCGGTCGCTACATTTTTCCAATTCTAAGCGGGTAATAAAAAATAAAACATTGAATAATTAGAAGGAAAAGAAATAAATAAGCTTTATCTGATTCTACGAACCGATAGACTGGCACTTTTAAGGAGCGTAACGGAGAAACGCGATTGCGCCGCTTGGGACTCAAACGGTTAAACAAACATCGTCTTTGTCTAGTTAGAAAATGTTAAATATTTCTAACGAAATACTTCCGAGTACAAAGGGTTAATTCGACGATTGGGACCTCCATGTCGACGAAGAGGTTCAGAAGAACCATGTTCTGCAATAGTTCGTTTTCCTCTCTGAATAACTTTCTTATCGGGATGTCGACGATTTAGATATCGTTCTTTGTGATATGTACTTACATATAGTAAGTACTAATACGTACTTACTGTATTATTTGCAGCCGAAGCATTACTGCCACATGCACCTATGCAATTCAACAAGTGTAGAAGTAAAGCAAGAGTAATAGACAAAAATGATAACTGTCGATGTTGACAAATATGACAGTGGTTTTCAAGCATAAAGTCTGTCTACAGTGATATCCGTTTAGTTGAGACTTGGTCGAATGTACTACGTGTACCGAGTAAATCTTTAAAGATTGTGCTTCTGTACCTACATAGTTTTATCGATTAAATATTTGTTGACATAATCTACTAATACTTTTCTGAAATGTAATAGGTAAATTCCATTGTTATTTGTGGTAATGATATTTTTCCATCCTTCTATTGTGCACTTAAATATACTACAAGTAACAAATACTTAACAGAATAAATATTGCAGGGAAAGGTATAGTAAAATAGAACGCTTTACTTTAAATTCCAACAACGAAATATCTGAAACAATAGAGGCATGAAACCTTTTTTGAAAAACTTAAGTGATGTTTATAGACCTTAGGCTATAAAAAAATAAGAGACCCTTTTCAGAAAAATATTTTATTACGAAGAGGGAAATACGATATTCTAAAAATATTGAAATATCCGCGTTGCTAAGATGGCAAGGTAAAACGAAACACCCACAAATTATTTCTACCAAATGAAAATTATTAACTAACAATAATAAACTATAAATATGTGTTATTTTAGAAACAAAAATCACAAATGTATGTGTCACCTTCCTTTTCTGCACTGACACAATCTTCATGGATTCACCCATAACATTGCTCGCACTGAATACATTCTTCGTCTTCTTCTCCATTCTTTTAAATGAATATAACATTCATTACAAAACATGCATCTATTAGTAGAAAATTTTTCTGAATTTATTGTCTTCGTTTTTATTTTCTTTCTGGGAATGCCTTTCTCTTTTTATTTTTCTACGATTTGCCGTTTCGGCATTGACTTTTTCACTGCTCATTTCAAGGTTTGCTACATAAACAGGTGACGTTAAAGTAGCTGTTTCTCCTCTTCTTCTATTTCTTTTTCTTGTTACCATATCTCTGTAAGAACATAGATTGAAACATAACTATTAACACGTTCGCTACCAGCGTCACATATTTGTGACGGCCGTAATCCTATATTTTACGTAATGAAAATGAAGTTAATCCTATAAATATTGTTATTAGAAATTATAAACTACGACATTATATTTAGGAACTCGATGATTCGTTTCAGTTTCATTTTTCTAATATTTTATTTAGAAGATTTATTGGATTGGAGAAAATATTATAATTGAGGAAACCGTCAGCGAAATAAGCGCTGGTAGCGAACGTGTTAATTAAGCCGCTCACTGGTCAAATCAATTAACTCCACTTTTTAGATTTTTTAAGATTTTATCATTAAAGCGCCTCATTGACTCTTAACTTTTTATATTCAATATAAATTTCATTATGACTGGATTTGTTATCACTAAATAACAAAGTCTTCCGGTCATGGAAAAATTGCAATAATAATAAAAGTTACTTCAAGAATATACTATTTGATGTATTTTACATATTTGTTAGATTGAAACTGTGTCTGTGTTAATAAAGTAAAATACATTCTATTATGATTATTTGATTTTACATTCAAAGCAAAATTTTAAAAATCAATATTTAACTGTTGCATCACCTTTCTCTACTTTTTGTTTTGTAGATTTAATTGATTTGTCCAATGAGTAGCTGAATTGACTCGTGCTGCATCTCGTTTCGGGCGACAGGAAAAACAAAAGATGACTCGCACACACATTTACACACTCTCAACCCCGCACTCAATCAGAGAATCAATTACATACAGTATTCTGTCTAACGTTATGATCACGTAATTGCCATTTAATTACTGCTAATAATGTTTCCGTCATATTTACCTATAAACTTTATAGGCATAAACAACTGTGCAGAAACTTTATGATCCAAACATATCAATGTGAATTATTAAAAAATATTTTTCTCCGTTGAAAAAATTTGATCGAATGTTATCAAAATTCTTAAAATGGAACCGAGATTAAATACCATTAATATAAAACGTAGCAACTTATATTGACTAAAACTATTCTGGAAGGAAGCTTAAATTGTTTAACTTGTTATAGTTCTAACATCTAAATAACAAGATGTTTTTGTCGAAATAATTCAAATGAATATATTTATTACAGCAAATGAAGTCTCGACAACTGTCGAAAACATTTCAATCGATTAATTATAGAAATGAAGTATAACCCGAATAACCGGACGATTATTAATTACAGCAATAGATTACGGAAAAATTATAGGTAAGTGTTCTCCAATTGAGTCTCAAATTTTGCGTGAACTCGAAGATTGAATGGTAAACCGGAATTTGCTAATTTCGTAGCCATTATAATGTAATCTCTTGATCTTCTTACTTAATTAACTACAGAGTATGTTCGATTAGTATGTTCGCTAGCTATAAATAATTTCGCAGCACTGATGGACTCGCTGTAGAAGAGGAACATGCTCCGTCGGCAATGACAGCGGACCAAAACGTGTGAACATGTAGAGGCTCCGGCCGATTTCCGTGGTTAATCTCCACCCTTGGGAGCTCTTCAGACCGGACAATCTCGCTGACCGTAATTGGACGAGAGGTCGTTGAAGTTTCGTCAAGACGTTCGACCGTTCCGTTAGACTAACGACAATCAACAATCAAGAGAATCGACGATAAGCTGTCATTTTTACTGATCAGATGTCAGCGAAACACTTACCGTTCAACTGCATTCTGTAAGAAATTATTTATGAAATTTAGTAAACTGTGTTTTTAATTTGTTCATGTGATGAATGCCAGATGGTGCCTTCATATTGTTATCCACTCACCAATAGGTACTTATCGATGGATGTAGCATATATATCTAAGCACCTACTTGCTTCTGGAGTTATTCAATTATGTGATTATAATTATCATGCTGCGTGAAATCTCAATACTTTCAGATCTGATAACATTAATAAGTAAAACATATTGGAATTTCAATATTCAAACAATGCTGTTGCTTTTGTTGTTTGCAACCAGTAATTGATATGATTATTTCTTAATTACCTTATTAGAATTACGAAAGCGTAAGTACTTACTACCGCGCCATCGATTATCGTGTAATCCTTTACAACATACAATTTGTTCGTTATTTTTTTCTGTTAAAAAAGCAATTGTCTCGATAGAAAATAAAGAAAGTTTATATATAGTTTACCTTTCACGTTGAAAACTCATGGTTCGTAGGTTTCACAAGAACGCTGCGTTTCAAAATTTCATACCCGACGTAATCAGTCTATCGACGAAGGGAACAAAAACAAACGGCGAATGATCCATTATTACGTCCAAACATCGCGCGGACTAATACCGCTTGCGGTGGACGTAAAATATAGATATTAACATAGGATAAGTCGGTCGATACGGATTTGCCATGATTATTTGATGCTCCGTGAAACATTTTACCACGCATTGCACTCTCCGCTTCCGGCTACGTGTGCGTGAACACCTGAAAATACCGCGTTACGTGCTCGATCCTCAAATTACAGACCCCTAGAACCTTGATTCACCGCAACATTTGATTCCACATCGCGAACCTGTGATGGTGCGCGAAATCTTGCCCGAGAAACGCATCGATCAACATTGGAGAACACTCTATTGCTTTGCACTAATAGTAAACAAATGGAAAATAGCTGATTTTTATCAATTCTGCTTAAATTCACTTGATAACATAGGCTTCTTAGTAAATGCGTCGTAAAGAATAACTCAGCAAGGAAGGACAGAGAGAAGCGAAGTGACTTCCAGGACCAGCAAGCTTTTTGCTTGCACGGATGTCGACGAGTACTCCCGCATCCGCTGGTATGGAGGGAGCGAGTGGGTGGTTCTCTACATATTTGATGCGATTTTAATGTCTCTGCCCGGCATATCCGCGTCCCGTGCACCAATAGCACCAGGAACACCAGCCTGCCGCACGAAGCAGGAGTGACTGCTGTGATGCTCTAATCGGCTTACGCAACAAGCCACCCTTATCCCGAGTTCCCATCACAGCCCCGAGCGCCCTCGCCACCCATCCACTGCCTCCGCAACGGCTGTTACTTTGCGGTTAGACGCTACTTTGCTACCTGCGTTTCTTCTTTCTGCAGCCTTCCGGCACACTCTCAGCCAGAAGCTTAGATTCGCTTAGCAAGTTTTATTAAAATTATGTCGCATAATATGCAAGCGGGAAATCAGTCAACGACTCCTCAACCATATTGCCGTCTATTAGTATAGAGTAATAACTTAATTAATGCTCAAGATATGTTCTTAGAGGCCAAAGCGTTCAACGAAACAGCATTAACAGTAGAACTACCAAATAGGTCAAAATGACCCATTCCTAAATTCTTCTTCTGCAACTATTGAGGAGCAGATGCTTCTTAGGAAAATAAGTAATGACATTGATTTAAAAATACGCAAACTAAATTATAAATCGATTGAAATCTCGACAGACAATATTGGAGTTTCCATAGGAAAATTAGAAAATCTAATTGAATTACTCGGTAGTTCTAATGTTAAACCTTTGCGGACAAAGATTCTTTGAAGTACAGAAAACGGTCAGCAGATGAAGCTAAATTATATATCGATTGCTTAGATAATTGGAAAAAGGAAACTACGTACTGACCTCTTACTATTCGAATAATTAAATCATCCGTTTGCGACTTAGCATTCCAAATATGAAAATTTCATCTCGCCGAAATATCAACATTCGTCCGCAAAGAGTTAAATGAAGCCATTTTAGAACATAGTAAATAGAAATAAGAAAACATTAGATTAAGATAAAGAAGTTTTACTTTAATTTTAAGTTATCTTTGTATGAAATTTATAACCAAGAACTGTGTTATATTCAGTCATGGAATATTTATAGCTTATTTAAGATTCAAGAAAAAACCGCATTATATAGAAGCAACGTTAATGAATACACTAAGTTTTATTGTACTTTGAATTTTAATTTTGCTTTTAGCATTTTTTACGGAACAACTTAAGTTTCCTTTATGATTATAATCATTTGTATTGGTCAAATTTATTTATTCACGAAAAGATACTTCATGTTTCTTAAAAACAATTTTCTCTGTCGAGGCTTCCCATCGAAAAACTTTGGGTCTTTAAATCCATCCAACGAGACATATACTTATACAACTTTCTTAATGTGACTTATCTTTTATGGGAAGTAAGCAATATATTATTAACACATTCCGTGCCACCGGAAATTTCGATTATATCTTGCTTATAAGTGCATTGATTTTTTAAATGAAATATTAAGATACATTCAAGTTTTTGATGACTTTTATATATATTTTGATATTATTTCTTCATGTTTTCGCTGCTTTGCAACGTGTACCGCTACCCTTTGCCACATATTTCACAAAACATATTTCCTCAGAAAAATTGGGCGTGTACCACAAATGGTATACGTGGCACGGAACATGTTAATATGTTAAATTATTTATATATGATTATAGTTAAGTGTCTATTTACGAATTATTAATGTATTACTTTATGCATTATACGATCATATGCATTATGAACATGAAGTATTTATAAGTAGAAATGATAAGTATTAAACAGACACAATTATATTTGTCTTGTTACTAACGGAAGCAGCAGTGTCCTATTCTTTTGTATAATTACACATTTATTGATACCGACATTAATATCGATTTTTTAAAAAGTAGTCTAAACAGTTTTTAGACATAAGTAAATATACAAAGCCTTAAGAGAAAATAAGAAAATTAATAAAACTCAATAATATATGAAAAAACGACAATCCACGTGATGTATAAAACTGAATACTGAGGGGTTAATGAATACTCATCATTAATTTTATAAAAAATTGAGTTTAAACAGTTTTATAAAGAATTAAATAAATTCAATTTGATACTTTTAATTTACTTACTTTTATACAATCACATTTTCCTCTGTAGTGCCATAATTTCTGATACATCCTGTACATTTCGATGGTTTTTTACTTTTTTCTTCCAAAACAGTCTGTTTGATACACTTTCACCATTAAATTGCAAATTTTCCATATAGATATATTTACAAATTGGTCAAGTATTTAATTTATTATTTAAGAAAACAAGAAATGTGAGTTTGCAATCATAGTGTATTTATGGCTAAAAGAATTTAAACAAGCGTATTAAATTAAAAGTGATTATTAGTATATTCAAATCAAATTACTTGTAAGTAACTTCCAATATACTGGAACAATAAGTTATAAATGACATAATTTGTGTGTATTTTACGTTTAATTCATCAGTACGCCAAGTATCCAATTTTTTATATAATCGGGTGCTGGATACAGGCGTACTTGCAACATACGCGTACGCTTGATATTGCACGAGAGAATCGCCCTAGGCAAGGACGCGCATTATTGGGTAGAATTACATTAAACAAACATCCAATATATCTGCCTCTCCCTCGTGTCGAATATCTTTTTTGTCAAAATTCACGTATAGACATGTACAGTTGGTTGCTTCACACACAATTCAAATACAAATTTCAATTAACTTTGTATTAATAAATATCAGTAAGTTCGTAACATTTTATTTTTCAAAACATTTTGTTTACAGTATACTTATGTTTATTAAATTCACAGATTTACGAATCAAGTATTTAACATTTACAAGCCATGTTTCTTTGTACAACAATGTATTTAAGTATGAAAAATTGTATCTGTGGGCATGTGTACTTGCACGTGCGCAAGTTTGTGTAATATAATATAATGTACATATATATATATACATGACACGTATAGACATATATCAAACACATGCATATGTCAAGTTTTTCGTTTAGCTTTGTAGCGTTGGTTCTTCGTTTTTAAAACGGGATCTTCACTTACGTTTTCTACCAACGAATCAACGCGAGTAAAAACAAAATTTTTTGCATTTATCGATGGTAACGACACATCCTTTTGTTTTGTTAAAGCAGCAAAACGCGCTAATGACTTTTCTCCCTTCGCAAGAATTGAATGTTTTTGTATGGCATTCTGAAACAATAAAAATTAAAAGTAGTAGATATTGTAAGAATTGTTTGACCATTAATAAACGCAGTTTCTAAACGCAACTTACACGAATCACGCATGATTTTCCTTCTGAACCTGTACTATTCAACATTTCCGCTATAGTATGAGATATCCTTGGTTCCATTTTGGAATCAGTCGAATCTAGCATTGTGTTTTCTACTTGACTTTCATTAATACGCCTTTTCTTTAGAATCTTCATCCCAAATTTAAATATTTGACTATCATTTAAATCATTCTCGATTTCAGTATCTATATTCACCTACAAATGTAAAATTTCATATTTTTTCGAAGTGAATAAATGTACGCTACTATTAACCGTTAAAAATGTTAAAAATATTTACTTCATTACTATTAGTGACAATACTTGTCAAAGTTATACGAATGTTAAATCTGTCGGTATTTAACTTTATAATAAACATTTTGCTAAAATTAAAACAATTCAGAGAATATTTATTTTATCTAAACAACAAAGTATGTCCCAAACTTTTAACTAATAGTATATATTACCATTTTTTCTGCCAGAAATTTTTCTCTTTCGTGTCTTATTTGACGCCATTTTGCTTCATCTTCCTCATCCGATAAATCGACCCAACCATCTTTGTCTTCCGACGGTTGAAACTGATCATTATCATCTTGTTTATCTAAAAAATTCATTTGTTTTAATTGGCTTTGTTTATTAAAAAGCAGTCTCACGCTAAAACTATATATTCAATTTCATACTTATGTTTTTCCACTTGAATTTTCGTTCTCGACCGCTTTCGCTGTACAAGTCTCCTTCCTCGAATAATAATTCCTTTAGTAACCGTACTTCTTTCTGATCCTCGTCTAGTATCTGTCTCATATGAAGTCTATCCAATTGATTTTTCATTTGTGCCTCGTCAATTTCTTCGTCGTCCCCTTCTTCGACTTCCAATTTATCCATATCTTTTTCATCTTCGTCTGCAGATACATCACAGTCGCTCTCGCTAAGTTCAGCTTCATTTTCCAAAAACGTGGCTGCATATTGTTTTATGTTTTTTCTTGGTACAACTACTTCATTCTCCTCCGAATCATAATCTATAAATTTTTCTTGATCACCTTCATTTTCATCATCGCTTTCGTTTTGTTCATCATCATCATTAGACATTGAACAATTATTTTCTTCCTCGTCATCAGACAACTCTAACTTCTTCACCTTTCTCTTTGATCGACTATTAACTTCTCGCTCTATCAGATCTTCATCTTCCTTTTCGGCGAAATGCAAAACATCTGAATTTTCTTTAAACTCATCGTTTCTCTTCGATCGTTCATAGTTGGCGTTGCTCTCAGATGTTATCGAGCCTTTTATCGACGTTTCTTGTAGTTCCTTGGATGGAAAGTCTTTCATTGAACTTTCAGTATTATTTGTTCGTGTACCAAAGGTTCCCGAGCATAATTCTAGTAGTTGTGATTCAGTTATATCTGATGATTTCGAAAGATCTAGGTCAGTTTTATTGGTTGTAAATTTACCGGAACAAAGTTCTATAAGATCTTCCTCTGTTGCATCGTTTTGATCAGTAAAAAGTAACTTCTTGTGCATCGGCGGTCGACTTTTAGAATTATGCATTTCCTGTGATAACTCAATTTGCGGACTTTCCATCAAAATGGGACCAGACTCATCTACTAAAAATTCCCGTTCAGTTGGAACCATTTCTTTTTCTTCTAAGCGAGTGTTTAATGCCGTTAATTGCGTTATGGGAGAAACAAAACTAAAATTATTAGTTTTGGTTAATGGTGTTTGATATGGTTTACGTTCTAGATCACTTTCAACGTGTGCTTGAGAGACTGGAATGTCTTGTTCGTTATCACTGCATCTTTCATTTTCGCTTACACTTTCACAAAACATGTCTGAAACATGTCTGCTTGTACCGTTGCTTACGTTTGAACATATATTCTTCTCCTTATTCGCAATGTCATCATTGTTCAAGGTATCACAAGATCTTGAATCATCTTCTATAGGTTCTATAATTCGTTTAAACGGTTTACGTTGTATATCAGCACTATCACAGGTACTGCTCTCATCGTCCTCTAAAATTAACCTTTCGCATTCTTCCTCATCTTTTTCTACATTTTCTTCCTCATCGTCGTCTATAATTTCATCTTCATCGTTTATTTCGTCATCGGTAACATCCGCTTCATCATCCACAAAAGCACATTTACGCGTCTTCTTTTCTTTCTTCTCAATTATATCGTTCTCTTCTAATTCATCCTCTTCGCTTTCATACGTCACAATATCTGGCGAGTATACTTTACTAAAGTTATCATCCTCTTTCACTGTTTCATTCCATTCTATTTCCTGCTCTTTCATCTCTTGCTCTTTTTCTTTCCACTCTTCCTCGCGTTTCAATGCCATTTTTTCCTTTAACTCTTGTTTTAAGCGTAACAGCTTTAATCCAGGTTTTTTGAAATTCAGAGGTTTGTGTGAAATCGTTTCTTTAGTTTTAGTTGACACTCCATCCGGAGATTCTATTATTTGTGTATCATCGACTTCATCTTTCATTTTAGAATGCCTGTGTACAAATCGATCTATAAAAGCATTTATTCCTTTCTTGTTTGGCTTAACATCATCTGATAAATCAATCACTGTACCTGGCAAACCTCTTAATTTTGGTTTTAAACTTTGTATATCGAATAACGTTTTCTTTTTATTAATGTTTGGAGAGATATCAAACTTAGGTGGTGGTAATCCATATTCATTATATTCATCTACCTCTTCTGCTGTTATTCCTAATGATTGTTTTACCATTTTTGCATAATCATCAGTAGTATTCGAATTTGACGTTTTCAAGGAATCACTCACAGTTTGTAAAATATTATCTCGATTTTTATTTTCAATGAGCTTCTGTTGCAATGTATTATCTTTATCTTGTTTATGAGATGTTTCAACTGTTTTTATACTTTTAGATATATTTTCATTTTCATTTTCAGTACCAATAGTATTACAATTACTTTTTAATATTTCTAAATCATTTGTATTGTCTACTTGCATTGTATCAACTTCTATTGCTAAATTACTGTTAGTCCCATTTGTTTCCATAACATTTTCATTTACTTTATGCGTCATGCTTATATTATTTTCTTTATTATCCACGGATAAATTATCATGAATCAACAATGTTTCTGGAACCTTTTTAAAATTTTCTGTATATTCTGTAATAGCATTTTCCTTATCCACCTCTGAATGATTTTCTATTGCTTCCTCTTCTGAATCAGAAGACTTATAAAATATTTCAGCTTCTTTCTCTTTTTCTTTCAGTACTTTGCTATTCAATTAAAAAATTATAGAATTTAGTAACTGATTTATATAACTAGATGAAAATATGAAAAACTTGATATTAATAAATCTTATATTGTAAAATTACTCACTCAACAATAGCAGAGGACATTTTTAATTTAGCTGCCATTGAAGAAGCTTTTGGAAGAACTGACAATACTTTTTTTCTATTCAAAAATTCTTGTAATGTTCTTTGTTTTGGCTTATGGTAAGGAAGAGAAATTTCTGTTTCTCTTATTAAACGTTGAGTTTCACTATGAATTTGTTTCATGGCTTCTTCTTTACTAGCTCTTAAAGAAACCTAAAATTACATATTCATGTACGTTAAACATAATATTGAATAAAATTCAATTATTGATATTTTTCATTGACATACTTTTCTTTTCACAGGTTCAATGTGTTCCTTTTGTTGTTTATAATCTTCATTTTTCACAGGACTCGACTGCATTTCATCATCTTCTTCTGATTCTGAATCTATCAAAGATCGAAATCCATTTTGTACCTATAAAGTATATAATAAAATAATTATTTCCATTAATCAAAGCATCCGTCAACTCATTACACTTATTAATTATAATATTCCAACCTTTCCTTCATTTGAAATTTTGTTTGCATTATCATTCTTTTGAACTACAAATGTTTCATCATCAGTATCACTATCAAGACATCTTACAATATTTTTCTTATATGTATGTTGATTAGAAAATTTGTTAACGTCGTTTTCTCTTTCAGTCTTTGATATAAAAATACTATCATCTTCAGAGTCACTGTCTATTATTCTTGAAAGTTTTTTCAAACTTTTAGCAACCTGAAATTCTTCGCTCTCCTGTATAGATTCTTTATTTGTTTCTTGCACAGTTTTATTAAATACATCTGTGACATTACTAATACAATCGTTGTTAATCTCAATAGGTTTGTTAAGCCCGATTTTTAGGCAATCATCTACCTCTTTGCTAGATTCAATTTCAAGGCATATATTTTCTGTATTAGGCTCATTGTTAGTTTTCGTATCATTAAGATCATCAATTTTATTCATTTTCACAAACAAATATTTGGCCTATCAAGAGTTTATACTTGTATTCTATTTACATTGCTCTTTATTAAAACATTGAATATTTTCTAATTAAAAATAATCATGCTATTTTAAAACTACAATATCACAAGTCAAATATCACACCACCTTTGTATTGTTGACGAAGAATATTTGACAAATTTGGCGCGAAAGTATCATGTCATCGATTGCAGGATACTGTAGAGAGGAAATAACATAAACTTGACAACACTCTCACTATAGATAGTAAGTATCTACTTTCAAAACGATAAGTATTCCGCGTTATACAAGATGCGCTCTGAAAAGAATGCGGAACTCATTGGTTAACTTTCATCTTTTCTCATCTCATTTTCAATACTAATTTACTATTTGTCAATATAGTTACACATAACCAATTAAAACTATAAACATAATCCCCAACGAAAGACTCCTTTTGCCCCTATACCGACCCAGGATCTATCTTGTAAATAACGCAGAGTAAGATAACGTTAAATGTAAACTTAAAACTGATAGTCAAGATACCTCTCAAAATATTTCATATTTTTCACTTTTACTAGTTCAGAGGTATTTAGCTTACTCCCCTCATGCTAGTAACTCGAAGCCCCCATAACAGTGTTCCCCTACTATTTCTACTCAAGAAGCTTCACGAGACTGTGTATGAGAGTAGTTCTATGAGTGTTCAATACAATTGGTAAAAGTAGGTATGGAGAGGGTAACTTTTCATGAGGGGAGTATCACTAGACTGCCGCGGGCACCGATTTAGACACCCTTGTACTAGTTGGTCGATAGATCAAATTGTTGACATATTTTTATGACAGTTCGCGACTGTTAAAACTACAATTGAGAAAAACGTTACACCCGTAATAATCTTTAACAACGCATAGATTTAATAACTATTTAATTAGATATCTTTTAAGCTTTTTTATTTGTTCACAGGCATGATTACCATGGGTGAACCTCTTACTTTAGCAAATGGTAAATTCTTTTACATGAATAATCTCTTAAAAGAATTTATATATTATTTTTTTCAACCATTTACTGTAGTTTCCACTTAGAACAGTGACTTACTTCACAATAAGGATAATTAATATCAATCTTTTTGGTTTTTTTTACAGATGTTAAGAGATCTATTGAGTTATTAGATAAATTACAGAAAGGTAATAAATTACATATATAATAATAATGTACATTACAGGACAAATTTATTACACCATTTCAAATTTTATTGCAAGAATTATTATCTTTTTGCATAGGACTTTGTAGCGATCATTTTCCCATAATCTTATTGGTTTGATTTATTTTCTAGAATAAACCATGTACGTGCTAGCATTTTATATAAAATTTTTTTAATATTGAAGACTTTATATTTAACCCACATATAAATTTGAACGTTTACATTATTATTTTAGGAGGTGAAGTACCTGCAACAAAATTAGCTGCCTTACAAAAAGTTTTACAAAGTGATTTTCTCAGTGCTGTGCTTGAAGTATATGAACATGTATATGAAACATCTGACATTGAGGTATTGTAATTGTACACTCATAGCATAGATTATTTAATGAAATCTCAGCACTGATTAGTCGTTCCAGGCTTCTCAAGATGTCCGTGCATCAGCTACCGCAAAAGCAACAGTTGCTGCTTTTGCTGCAAGTGAAGGCCATGCACATCCAAGAATTGTGGAATTACCAAAAACTGAAGAAGGTCTTGGATTTAATGTAATGGGTGGTAAAGAACAAAATTCACCCATTTACATTTCACGAATTATTCCTGGAGGTGTTGCCGATCGTCATGGTGGTCTGAAACGGGGTGATCAACTTCTTTCAGTGGATGGAGTGGTTAGTCTTAAATTTGAAAGTTCAATACTCTTCATTATTTATTCCATTTCACATTTTATTTTTCAGTGTGTTGAGGGTGAAAATCATGAGAAAGCTGTGGAATTGCTAAAACAGGCACAAGTTTCTGTGAAATTAGTTGTGCGTTACACACCAAGAGTTTTGGAGGAAATGGAATTACGGTTTGATAAACAAAGAGCAGCTCGTAGTAGGCGCCAACAAATGCAATAAAAATAAAAATATGTATGTGTGTCATTACATTCTCCTTGATAAATGAATTACACATGTATTACCATCACCTTAATTTCATTTCTTTATTATTTATAAGCTAGAAACTTCATGTATTCTAAACAATGGAGTGTGTTAAATTTATGAAAATCCCATTATCATTGTAATATTATTATACTATCATTTGTGTTAACAGAATATACACATATATTATAAAATGTTAAGAAATCAAAATCGAAAATAAAGGTTCTTTTCTTTGACTTTTATTCCTCAGACATTGATGTATTTTTAAAGTATCGTGTAATGGATAAGAACAAACAGCAGCATGTACAAGGTGGAAAGAAATTATTATACTTCCTTGTCATAGCGTAATTCTATACCTTCCATTTAATGGAGATTGAAGTAAAGAAGCTGTCGCAAAGTTGCATCTGACTTTGAAAAAAAAAATTTTTATTTTTTATTGCGCCATTCTATTCTATTTATCGCGGAGATAAATAGTCTGAAAAGAATCGTGGATATCGATTGTCTTTTTCTAATACACTCCGTCATTAAGGAGTCGCAGCGAGTAAGACAATAGATAGTACGTTTCTTTACTCTCTCACACAAAATTCAACAGTGATTTACAAAAAAACTATTCATTTTTTATTTTTGGTACCTTCGAGATTATTTACCTTCCCGATATGTAGATTAAGATGGCGCAATAAAAAATTATTATCTTTTTTTACAAGGTCAGATGCAATTTTGCGGCAGCTTCTTTACCTCAATCTCCATTAAATCAAAGATGTAGAATCACGTTATGACAAGAAAGTATAATCATTTCTTTCCAATGTTATATAATGTGCAAATGAGATAAAATCATACTTCATGTAAAACTTAAAATTTTAAACAAATAAAGAATTATCGATACGTCAAGTACCAGTACAAAATAAGAATGTTTTTTTATTTTTAGTTCAGCTTTATCGAAACTGTACTTATAGATTAGGTTGACTTTCTTGATAAAAAAAAAATCAGTGGGCAGTATTTATCGTCGTTATTCACACATCGTTTGCGATAATTTTATAATAATTTGAATTACATACAGTTTAAAATACAGTAACGTCATGTTTGGGCTTGTTTTTATCCGGAGAATTTTATCAGCTTGTTAGTAAAATTTTTATATAGATAAGTGCACTAAAAAAAATATAAAATTTAAAAAAATGAAAAATAAGAATTACATTGATTTTCGTTCACTATTTGAGGCTTATTAAAGAATTGAGATTGTTATTATATTTAGAGACGATCTTTATGTTTGTGAGTTTAGAAAATATGTTAAATTCTAAATTATTTGTGTTGAATTTTAAATAAGTATTTACCACCGCAGGTCAGGTAGTGTATTACATATATCTACATATGTCAAAGGAAAATAGTGGAAGGGATAATGAAAACGATTTTAATTCTATATTCTACCGCGTGAGTGCAGTGTGAATATATATTTACGTGAACTCTGTCAGTAATTAAAGTCCAGTGGACTTTAATCTGTTTTAAATTGTGCTGGCTCATTGGGAGATTTATATAAAAGCATCAATTAAGTGAAGGCATTATTATCTAATTTACTTTCAGCAAAAATGCCGGAATTAACGGGATTACGTTTTGATGGTCGTGTAGTTGTTGTAACAGGAGCTGGAACAGGTTAACATTGACAGGTTTTTGCTACTTTGATTTTATCTCATGTTTGAATTTTATTGAATATAATTTTTTGTTTAGGCTTGGGTCGAGCATATGCTTTACTATTTGCTTCAAGAGGTGCCAATGTTGTAGTAAACGATTTGGGTGGAGGTAGACACGGTGACGGAAGTAATACCAAAGTTGCAGACATAGTTGTTCAAGAAATCAAGAAAAATGGTTGTATAGAATTTCTGAAAATTTTATACTAAATTTTATTTTTGCTCGTATTACATTTTTACATAATCATTTTTGACTTAAATTTTTATCATGAGAAAGTAATCTTATCTTTATATTGTGTCTTTGAATAATATTGAAAGTTAATTTAAACAATTTTACAGGGAATTATAAAAGATTTTGTATTAGTTATGTTAAAAGGAAATATATAAAATATTGGAATTATTTTATAAAATTCATCAGTTATAATATTTCAATTTTTTAGAATCACAATTGCTAAGATTAAAATTTTTCAGCAAGTATTTATGAAGAGCTCTTTACAACGTAAAACTTACTTACAGGTGGAAATGCTGTTGCCAATTATAATTCTGTCCTTGATGGTGCAAAAATTATCAAAACAGCCATCGATACTTTTGGACGAGTGGACATAGTTGTTAATAACGCTGGAATTTTAAGAGACAAATCATTTTCTAAGATGACAGATGCAGACTGGGGTATGTATAATATTTTATTATAAATTATAAATTACAAATATATGTATATATTTTCTTTTCTTTTTGAAGATCAAGAAACTTAAAATAATTTTTTTCAGATTTGGTTCAAGATGTTCACTTGAAAGGTAGTTATAGAACTACTAAAGCTGCATGGCCTTATTTTTTGAAACAAAATTATGGTCGTGTGATAATGACGACAAGTAACAGTGGATTATATGGAAATTTTGGGCAAGCAAATTACAGTTCAGCAAAAATGGGCCTTGTTGGTTTAGCTAATGCATTAGCCATAGAGGGTAGGAAAAAAAATATACAGACAAATGTAATAGTACCAACTGCTGCTTCTCGTTTAACGGAAGATATTATGCCACCAGGTAGATAATATATTTTGTATTATATTGCATACATATGTAATTATACATTGCTATATTTTAATTTATATCCACAGATCTTTTTGATAATTTAAAACCTGAATTAATAGCCCCAGTAGTTGTTTGGCTATGTCATGAAAAATGTACAGAAAATGGTTCTATTATAGAGTCTGCATTAGGATGGGCTGGAAAATGTAAGTATACAACGTACAATCATTTGAACAATTACAAAATTTTTAATTTAATTTATGGTTTTGTAGGTCATTTGATTCGTTCATCAGGATCCACTTTAAGACAAAATTTATCAGAAAATATTACCCCTGAAGATGTTGCAAAAAATTGGGCAACTATTACTGACATGTCATCTGCTAAACATTTTGATAGTATAGAAGTATACGAAATATTTTTGATTGTGGTTAAATTTTTTCATTTAAAAGATGGTAGTATATTTCATGTTTTAAAAATATTTTTATAGGAAGTAATGGGACAATTCATGAATGCAATAGAAGAAATGAAATCTGGAAATGCAGGAAAGGTAGTTAAGATACTGTTTCTTGACATGAAATTAAATAGCATTATGCTTTATTATAATTGTTGTTTTTCAGGATAATACTTTTAAACATACTTACAATAACCGAGACACAATATTATATGCATTGGGAGGTATGGTGTAATTATTACAATCACTAGTTAATATCTAAATATTATTACAGCTTAAACCTCTTTTATAGTTGGTGCTACAGTAAAAGAACCGTCCGATTTACAGTATCTTTATGAATGTCACGAAAATTTTACTACATTACCTACATTTTATACCCTCTATGGCCCAATGTTTGCAATGAATTCTAAAATGCTCGAAGATAGCTTACCTGGATTCCAAATAAACCCAATGAAGGTAATTTTACTGTGTAAATAGTTAATTCATCTCAAATCATGCTTATATATTTATCATAATTATAGATGTTGCATGGAGAAGACTACATTGAACTACATAAACCAGTACCAACGGAAGCTACTGTAGAAACACATTTTAAACTTGTAGATATACTTGACAAGGGTTCAGGTGCTGTATTCTTAATAAACTGTATGTAAATGCCATTATTTCATTTTGTTTCTCATTTTCTACACAAAGTGGTTAAAGTTGTTTCAATTTGTTATAGATGAAACTTTTGATACCATGACCGGTGATAAGCTGTCTACAGGACAAATATCACTGTTTTCTATAGGAAGCGGTGGATTTCAGGGAAAGCGAACGTCTCCTCATGTTGTGCCAACTATTGATCCACCCAATCGAAAACCAGATGCGTCAGTTACTCAACAGACTAGTTTTGATCAGGTAAATAATATAATTAATGTTTTTGTTAAGTTTTAGATATAATGCACGATATCATTACTATGCTAAAATAAAAGAATTATTCTATTATTTAATTTTAAGTCTGGACATAAAATTCTATTTATTTGTCATCTTTTTATTATTAAATTTTGACATTTATGTATATAGGCAGCATTATATAGACTGAGTGGCGATAGGAATCCCTTACATATTGACCCTAATCTAGCACAGATGGCTGGTTACAAAACACCACTATTACATGGTTTATGTTCCTTTGGATTTTCTGTTCGTCATGTTCTTCAAACGTACGCTAATGGTGACTCAAGTTTATTCAAAGCTGTCAAAGTACGTTATATGGTATTCCTGTTAATTTATTAATACGCAATAAAAATTATCTTCTATGTAACGATATTCCTAAATATACATTATTTTTAACATATTGTATACTTTAGTAAATAAGAAGACTTTGTTTAGTTTAATCTCTTTAATCAATATTGTAGGGTCGGTTTGCGAATCCTGTATTCCCAGGTCAGACTTTGCGAACTGATATGTGGCAAAATGGGAATAGAATACACTTCCAAACGTATATCACTGAAACTAATGTACCAGTTGTGACAGGTAACTACATGGAAATTATTAATTGTAACAAAAAATCTAAATATTTAAAGAAAATTGATGACAAAATTTTATAAATATAATTTGTATATGTTTAAATTGTTATCCTCAATATACACAGGCGCTTATGTTGATTTGAAAGACGTGAACATTAAGCAACTTCAAATAAATAATTGTTCTGGCACTGCAAGTCTTCAAAGTGATGCAGTATTTGCAACTATGGGTGAATACGTGAAAGCAAATCCTGAAGAAGTAAAGAAGATCAATGCTGTCTTCGTTTATAACATTTTGGTAAAGGGAACACCACAAGCAACATGGAGTAAGTACTATTTTAATTAAGAACTATTATACTTCATTTTATACATTTCATTTTGCCCGCTTTTGCTTCTTCTATTATGCTGCATATATAAATATCATAAATTTTGAAGCTATGGACTTGAAGAAAGCTGAATTACATAAAGGAGAGCCAAAATCAGGAAAAGCCGATGCAACATTGACAATTGAGGATGTGGACATGATTGAAATGGTAAATTGCTTTTAAGATTAACATACAGTTTCCAATTGCTGCTTTATAAGACATTCATTCATAATACTGATTATTTTATTTTAGGCTTTGGGTAAATTAAATCCCCAGATGGCATTTATGCGGGGAAAACTAAAGGTTACTGGAAATATCATGCTGACTCAAAAATTAAGGACTCTTATGGAATCTGCTAAATCAAAATTGTAATATTATCTACATCTTTTGATAATTTAGGAGACTGTGGGGTAATGGTGGTCGGTAATAATACGGGGTAAAATATTTAGTTAAACATATAAATCAAAAATATTGATATACAATATAAATATAATTCTTTGTATTTGTAACACATCTATATGTAAATCCAAGTTAAATTGTAAGAAACGATTCAAAATTAGTACTAACATTCTATGGTCTGCACAAAAGGTACAGTATTTGTCATGTTAAAAAGCAGATATAACTTTTTTTTTGTTGTTAAGCAACAAGTGAGGTGGGACTATACATACGTGTATCAAACAGTATAATAAGACGTAACCAAGAAAAATTATGAATTTCGGACGTGAGACTTTGTAATAATAGTACTGACTATCATTATCAGTTGACCGCAATTACTCTATTCTTCTTTATATTGCATTATCATTGTTATATCGATCTATGATTATATGTAATTGTTATTGTTTATTGTTCAATATTTTTATACTTTTATAATTTTTGAATAAGATAATTAGGTTTGGGGTAAAATGATCATAGCATAAATAATAATATATATTGCTTTTGTAGAAACATGTATAAAGAATAAGAGATTTTATATTCTGATTATAAAATTATAGAAATATTTTATTATAACATGCTCATGTTTGTATAAAAAAAGGCTGTTTCATTGTTTCAAAGTAATCTTCATTTTCTATATGTAAAATACCTATGTATAATCACACAAAAAGGTTTACATATATTTGTTAAATTTCAAATATTAAAAAAAGACGAAGATTTTGATATTTTATAAACCTTAATAAATTTATTATTTAAAGTTGGATTGGTTCTGAAACATTGACAATGTTTTATGTATTTATTTATCAGGAAATGTGAATACACCAAAAACAAACTCATTTAATTTATTATATAATTACCAAT